TCTGCTAAAGCACTGTGGCAGGTTTTTTTAAGATCAAGAGCAATCCAGAGTTTAGCTTGGTGCAGCGTTTCTTCAACATCCAGGCAGAGAAAATCATAAGTGAAGTTTAAAAATGTGAATTCTTTACAATAGTAAAAGGGAGGAAGATGACCAATAGCCACATGTAAATGTTTGCGTATTAAAATGTTTGACATCAGAGGGTAGGGGCGTGCAAGATGTAAGGCAATCTTTCTTTAGGTTGCAGTAGCATTTTCAATACCTCATGACACTGCCCTCCCTACACCCCATTACTTTTTTTTTGGTGATCCTACACAAGGTTGCGACTGACAACAGACAGAAAAGTGCACGGTCCATGCTTTACTACTTGATGCTTTCCTAAAATTGTTGAGGTAATTGCAGTAGTCAGAGCTGTAAAATTTTACTCACTGCTTCCTAATTATTGTATATCCAGGTCTGTTAGCACAATTCATGCATATATACACCAGTGAGTTTAGTAATTTTCTTTTTATAGCCTTTATATATTATTCTGAATACACGTGAACTGACTCAAATGGGTTATTCCTGCTTCACCTCCTTGCAAGTTGTCATGGTTTAACTCCAGCTGGGAACTAAGCACCACACAGCCAATCACTCATCCTCCCCTGGTGGGATGGGAGAGAGAATTGGAAAGGTAAAAGTGAGAAAACTCATGGGTTGAGATGAAGACAGTTTAACAGGGAAAGCAAAAGCTGCACACACAAACAATGCAAAACAAGTTCTTTCACCACTTCTCACAGGCAGGTAGGTGTTCAGCCATCTCCAGGAAAGCAGGGCTCCATCCCATGTAACAGTGACTTGGGAAGGCAAATGCTGTCGCTACGAACTTCCCCCCCCCCTTCCTCTTTCCTCAGTTTTATATGCTGAGCATGATGCCATATGATATGGAATGTCCCTTTGGTCTGTTGGGGTCAGCTGTCTGGGCTGTGTCCCCTTCCAATTCACTGTGCACCCTCAGCATCCTTGTTGGTGGAGTGAGAAACAAAAAAGGCCTTGACACTGTATGAGCTCTAGTCAGCAATAATGAAAACATCCCTGTATTATCAACTGTTGTGGTCACAAACCCAAAAACCTATCCCACACTAGCTACTGTGAAGAAAATCAACTCCATCCAGTAAAAAGTTTAGTTTCGCTGTGACTTCATTGTTGTCCCTTTATATTACAGAAATTCCTGGGTCATTCTCAATAGTCTCATGTCACTGAAAGCAACTGTATCATACAACCCCTTTCTAAAAAAATAATAAACCTTACCTAAAGCCCATCTAACCCTAGTCTAAAGATTTGATGTTGATTTCGTTTATTTTCACCCATACTACTCCTACCGGAAGAGTGCTCTGGAAACTGATTCCTCTGGCACTTATAAATATTTCCCTTATTTAGAGTTCGGGTGAGGTAACTGACAGTCTTCATCACAAAAATAGATCTCCTGAACTTATTTCTTCCTTGTGTTTTAGAGAAAAATCATACACTTCAACAATTATTTGGTTAGGGTAAAAATCCTTAAATAACAACACTTTAATTTCCTGCTCTATTTTTTCCATTTCTATTATCCTAATCAGCTCAGTCATCTTTACCTGTACAGATTCTGGTTTTAATTAATCTTTCCTGAGTATGTGGAAGTATATATAGAATTTTAGGGAAAATAGGTGTTTTGAATGTCTCTCATATTGTGAAATATACTTCTGCACTTCTGCTGGAAATACCTTAGTATCTCAGGCCTAAGAAATAGATTTGTCCTACTGAAAATCAGTGCATGTTGCAGGTTCAGATCACAATTTTTCATACAGTTTACCAGCATCTAAATAAGCAGAGCTACCCTTCACTGACCTCTGCCTTTCACTCCTGTTCCTGTGTATCCTTCCTCTTTGGCCAGCACTATCTACGTGACTGTATAGCAAAATAGACTGAGACATTTATTCCAGTTCTATTTTGGTTGTTTCTCCCACCTTACAACTCCTGCACTAACCTCCATTTTTTTCAACTTAAATCATCCTTCTCACCTGGCAGCATACAAACACTTCACTGATGTTCTGACAGATGACCTCCACTACATTTTGGTCACAAAACTGTCAACTAAAACGTGTGCCTGATACACAAGTAATAAACCTTCTGTATGCATATCCAAATTCAAGTAGCATGACAATGCTTAAAGTGAGTTTTGCTCACTCTGGGTGAGGTGAACAAGTCCTAGAAAATAGCTTAACTAGTCCATGCTCCCACGTTGGCAGGCATGACAGGTTAATGAGAAATGAACCACTGCGCGAAGTGGAAGGAATATGGTTAGATGGCATAAAAGAAAGATAGGGACTGTGATGTGGACCCCACAGCAAATTAAAAGGACGATTCAAGGAAAAGGAAGAGGAAGCAGAGTCAAGATGGTATATAAAGAGAATGAGAAGAAGACAGCAAAGAAAACAAAAAACAATGGGGAAACAAAGCAATGGCAGACGGAAGAGGAAGAAAAGAGAATGCAAAGCCCAACACTTGGTCACCTATGACATTTCCATCACAGTCCCAAAGCAATACACTGAAAGGGTTGCTTTCCCACCTCATTCAAGGCTATAGAAAGGTCAAAAAGTTGTCCTACATCTGAACTTGTCTTTTTAACAGGTGTCGTGCTGGAAGTGCAGAGCCAATAAAATCTAGCACATCACCAATAAGTTCTCTCATTCTCAGTATTAATAAAATGTCCGGGTATTATTTATCTTAAAAATATGCTTATAATATATAATTTTAAAGGCACCCCATGTAGCACATAATGGGGCACTGCAAATTGGTTATATAATAAGTAAGTAGAAGAAAGAACAATATAAACAGTGGTTTGCAGCCTTGACCCTATGGTGTTTCCTGCCACCATGAAAGTAAAAACACATGTTCCCTGACAATCATCAAGCACTTTGTCACTGCTGTTGGACATTTTGCTGCCTTAGGGCTTGTCTACATGCAAAGCTGCATTGGTTTAGCTGGGTTTAATTTGCTGCAAAGGGCTGTGTGAATTTTTGTTTTGACTTAAATCAGACTTCAGTTTAATTCAACCAACTAAAGGTCAGATAAAAGCCAAGTAATTCTGTTGATTAGGACAATCATGGTTCTAATCAATTGCTTACAATTACAGTGCTGCCTATGCTGGCAAAAGCTGACTTTCTAGTAGCTTATCTTGATGAAGTTTCACCTGATTCCTCAGACTGTTTTAATTGACTTTAATTGCACCTGAATGGTCCTTAGGATCTAGTGTGACATGAGTCAACATAACCAAATCTTTGCTGCTTCTGAATGCAGAATATGTATCTAAAATATTAAGTTCAGCGGGAAAATGCTGGTTATTCTGAAATTTATCTTTTTTTCCAATATTGCACCCAAACACAAGCACTTCTCAACATATAGGTGGTGGCAGAAGCAGGGCAAAGGACATTCCAAACTAAGTAGGTATATCATACACACAGGGCTTCCTTAATTCAAAGCCTGCAAGAGCACTTTTGCCTTAGTCTTGCTGGGTGAAGTGCTTGGTAAGAGTACTCAGTGACGATTCCTGAACACAGGGAAACTTATCTGCTTAGGGAAATGTAATAGAAATGAAGAATTAAACAAATGGAAAATGAGCCATCATTATTGCAAAGAAGAATGTCCACAGAAGTAGTAGTACCGGTATAGTAACAGGAGGACAATTATAAGACTGTAATAATAGCAGTACATTTCCTGAGTCTTGCTACGGAGAATCAGAACTTGTCTTAGTGTTAGACAGGCTTGTCAGCACCCTCCTTTCCAAGGAAAAATTCCGAGTACTTCCTGTGCAGAGGAAAAGCTCACAGCAGAGGAATCATTCTCCTATTTTCCATAATCAGTTTTAGGCCGAGGCAACTCAAGCAAACGTATGGTGAATTTCACCTAATTGCTCCAACATTGTCATGAGCTATCTGTCCCAGAAAGCAAATCATTTGTTGGGCAGAAAGGTTCTTCCAGGTCACCCCACTACCTGGAACCTCAGCCATTCTAAGGGCAGCACAACCACGCTGCCAGCAAAGCACATTTGTGTTTAGACTGAATGGGTGCTGCTATGGCTTAATTAGCAATATATGCCACACACTGAACGTGTATACAGCAATCCCTGCCTCCAAATGATGGTAAGGTTTGTGGGATTTTTATACCGTTAGAGAAAGCTTACCTTATATTTCAGAACACAATAAAAAAACAACAAAGTGTTAAAATTTTATAAGGTCATATTCATCATTTTATCTTCCGAAAACAATCTGTATTTATGACCATGGTTAAATTATCAAGATACAGAAAAGCTAAAAGTTACATATATTTTGGGGGGCTATCAACCTCTGTTAGCTTTTCCATTGGGGTGAACTGCAAGACAATTTATTTCAAGCAGGAAGCTGCACAGGAAGGAGCTGTGCTCTTTCCACAAGCACTCTTCCCTCACCGCCCTCCTTAAGCAAGAACGGCCTTTATGCAATCGCGGGGAAACCAATCGGTTACCCTGAGATACAGCTCCCGACACCGTGAGGCCTTTCCTGGCGTGTCCTTAGCTGTCACCTCCGACTCTCCCACACGTTCCCTGCTCTGCCCCGGCCATGCGGGCCACTGAACGCACTTTGCCCCTTTTTCACATACACACAAGCGACCCACGGACATACACCCCCTGCCGCAGCCACTCGGAGACCAGACAGGGCTCTCACCCTTTGTCCCGACGAGAACCCTCGCCCCTTCCCCAGGACCCCGCCGCGTCCCACACCCCGGCCCGCACCCTCCCAGGGGGGATTTAAACCGGAGCCCGGAAGCCGGCGCGGCCGGCGCGGAGTACGCCGGGAATTGTAGTCCTAAGGCCCCAGTGATCACCCCGTGTTTGAGCGTCGGGGGCGGGGCGAGAAAACCACGAGTCCCGTGAGCCTCCGCAGCGGGAGGGGGGGGGCGGGGGGGGCTGGCGTTTGAACCGGCGGCGTTGTTGTTGACGCCATATTGCTGGTGCGGGGGTTACGGCCGGGAGCGCCATCGCCGCCATCGCCGCCGCCTGGGCCCCTCTGCCGCCATCGCGCCGCATCGGCTGCACTGCACCGCGCCCCTGGCACCAGCCCCGCACCCCTCGGCACGGATCGCGCCCCCCCACCGGCCGAGGGCGGAATTTGTCCCGGCCGGGCAGGGCGGAGCGGGCGGGGAGAGCGGAGATCCAGCCGGACCGAGCCGGGGTTGCTGCTGCCGCTGCCGGGGCCGCTCCCCAGAGAGAGGCCGGCGGGGAGGCGGCGGAGGCGGCCCTGACGCAGCCGCCCCCTCCTTTCCCTTCCCTCCCCCCCAGCCCGCCCCAGACAGCGGGGAAGGCGCCTCTGGGCAGGGCCGGCTGCTGCTGCTCCCACCGCCGTCTGCGCTGCCCCTCGCTCCGAGCCCCCTTGGCCGCCCCGCGCCATGGCTTGCGGCGCCACTTTGAAAAGGACTCTGGATTTTGACCCGCTGCTGAGCCCGGCGTCCCCGAAGCGGAGGCGATGTACGCCATTGTCAGCCCCGGCCTCGGCCGCCGCCTCCTCCTCCTTCGCCGCCGCCGCCTCCTCCCCGCAGAAATACCTGCGCATGGAGCCCTCGCCCTTCGGAGAGGTGTCGTCCCGGCTCACCACAGGTGAGGGGACGCGGCACCCCCTGTGCCCGGCACCCGCCCCGGGGGCACTTCGGCGGGGAGGGGGCCGGGAAGGCGGCCGGGGAACGGGGAGGAGAAGGAGCAGGAAGAGGGGAGGGTTGGGTGGGTCTGGCGTCCCCCTCCAGCCATTTTCTGCCGGGCTGTGCCGCTGGCAGCGGCCGGGGCGATCCGTGGTCGGCTTGGCACCGAGAGACACAATAGAAATGGCCGTTTGCAGCAGGAGAGGGGGAGGAGGAGGAGGAGGAGGAGGGAAGGGGAGGAAGAAGGGGGGCGGGTTGAGCCGGTGCGGGAGGGTGGCCATAGGAAAGGGGTCGGCGAATGCGGGAGGGAGACTGGAAAAAGGGGCCCGAGCAGGAGAACGGGGCGGAGGGGTGTGCTGGGTGGAGGGGAAGCTCTATCCTAGGAAGGGGGGAGGCCGGCTTTTTTTTTTTTTTTTTCTCCTTTCCCCCGGGTGCCTGGATGTGGCAAGGAGAGCCGCAGGGGCGAGTCGAGCTGCAGAAAGGCTGGAGGTGGCAGGGGCTGGGGGTGTGACCGAGGTTGGGCTGGGGTCGGGAGTGGGAGCGCCGGCGGGGCCCTCATCGCTGCTTTCCACGCAGCCATTATCCATGGGTCGAGGCGGCGGCGGCACCTCCTCCTGCCGTTGCTCAGATATCGTGGGGGAAGGGAAGGAGCTGGAGGGCGGCCTGTCATCCATCACCCGCAAAACACCAGCGGGAAAAGGGAAAAGCGGATAAAACAAAGGGGTGATTCTGCTCCCAGCCCCTTAATGCGGGCCACCGTCCCGGCTGACCCGTTCTATGGCATCCTTAAAGTTCCAGAGGAAAACCGAGCGTTGAAGGCGGTTGTGTGCAAGGGTGAGAGTTGCCTTTAGGGCAGATAAAATGGAATCGGGCGTTCTCCTCGTCTCCCAGACGCGGGGCAAGAACGAAACCCTTTTACATTCTTAATCTGCGAGAGGTGAGTCAGTCGCAGCCCTTAAAGCTCCAGGTCTGCTTGTGTGAGGCTTGTCAATTAAAAAATCAACCGAGTTCTTCTTAGCAGCGAGTAGGGAGAGAAGAAAGGAATGAATCTTGGCTGGGCACTCGGGATTGATTGGCCCGTGCTATGGTTAGTCCAGTGGGCAGCTTCCAGCAATGCACTCAGGGACGGTGCAGCTCGCGGCCATGAGCGGCTGTAGCGCCGAGGTATGGATGCATCCGTGTCCTTTGTGTGCAGGGGAAAAAGCCCTCTGCAGTTGTTACAGCAGAATTCCTTCCACCGTTGCATTCGGTACTCTCTTTTATAACAAAAGTTGGCTCCAGATTACCAGGCAGTAAGTTTGAATGTGTTTTCAAATTGCCATCTCCTCCACATAAGGCAAGTGCCATGTTTCGATATTCTTAGTTCTGAAAACTATATCGTTGAACACATTTTTTTTGCAGGTTTTAATAAAATAATAAAAAAATTGCTGTGGAGGAAATATATACTGGGCATACAGAGTTAAACTTGGCATCAGTGCCTTGATTTTTTTTTTTTGAACCTCTAGGAAAAGATCTTGAATGAGTCAGCGGTCTGAGATGAGAGTTGTGATGGATGGCACTCCCTGATACAGTGAGGCATTACATGTACTTTGAGATGTTTAAAATCAGAATTAATTTGATTCTCTTAGAGGATAAGTGTTCCTTCTTTGCAAGGATTTCTTTTGGCTTGTTTCTTTAGGATTTGGAGAGCTTAGATTATGAATATTTAATATAAATGTCATCTGGCCAGTAAATATATATTGTGGAAAGGAGACAAATCAATAAGATTTTCAGTAGAGACAACCTACAGCAGTATTTGAGGTAATACCTAAGCTCCTATCTTAGTGATTCTGAAGGGCTTAAGAAATCGAAATGTTACTGAAATTGAGTATATACAGGCCTCATTATCTCCTGAGAAAATCAGAGGTGCAGGTAGTAATCTGTGTGAAAAGGTGATTCTGTACAGACAAGGATGTATTTTATATAAGCCATTTGTTTAATATAATGAAGAAGGAAGGACAGTAAATCAAAATGTTTCTTACAGTGCTTGAAGCATTTATAAATTGTGCATGTTTGCATGGATTGGCTTAAAAACTCTCTCTTTGGTTTAAGTTACAGGAAAAAAAAATCTTTAAATAAACCATGCTGGTAAAAATGTGTCTGTTAGTCAGCTTAGTTTTTACCTTCAGTTGAATTTGGGCGTATTACCATATTGTCTGTATTTCATTTCAACCATTAGTGAGCAAACCAGAGTATCATTTTAAAGGGGTCACTTGAAAGATTGTGTGGGATTCATCTCATCTAACTTGGTAAATGTATGTCTGACCTAATAGTTTGTAGTTTTCTTGATAGTCAGTTGGAAGAAACAGATGGTTTATTCTAGAGCTCTGATTTAGGCTGAGGCAAAGTGTGCTGCAGAAATATGTATTGCTTTCCAGTGACTGCAAACTGAGTTTGTGACCATGTAAGCATTCAGATGTCTACATTAGGGTTAGATGAATCTTACTCTGTGTGAAAAGAATTCCAGTCTGACTTGAAAAGTGTTCCCCACTGAGTCACCGTTTTGCGTTGGGAAATTTGTTAACAATAGCCAGAATTCAGTTGACTTCACTTACAGTTTTCTCAGTCTGCTACTGTAATGCTTAGATTTCTAGCACTTAAAAAATGTCTGTATGAATTTTGTTTAATGAAAAGTAGGGGTCATATGAAATCAGAGCTCTGGATATAAAACCTGATGCTTATACTTTAAGTTCACCCATAAACATTTCTCTTCTGTTCTTGTGCTGCTGGTGTTTAACTTCAGCCAGTGGAAACTGTATCAACACCAGGATTTCTTACTACATCGTTCATTATTTCAAAAAAGAATTATCTAGAAGTAGAATACATATTGATTGAGGGGTGTGCTAAGAACTGAGTCAGATGAGAAAACAGCTGCCTTTATAGAGTGGTCATAGGCAAATAACCAGTACGTGTGTTTGAGAGAGGATAGGCTTATTCAAGATGAAATTTATCTCTTGCGAGAGTGTTTTAATATTTTTTGGTTATTTGAACAGCTGTTAGGTCGCTTCCAGTTTGTTGGTGAATTTGGCAGCCAAACGGAATTGTGCTTATTGGCTTGAGCATACTCTTAAGTATGTTTGCTGATTTTTGAATACCATTGTTTGCATGTAGAATGGTGTTTTTAAAACTGTGTTCACTAAAAGCAGTGCAGAACATACCTGCCTGGCATAAAACGGGTTTAGTGTTGAAAGAGTGGCTCCTCTAAAAATTTTTCTACTGCTTGAATACTACAGATGAGTTTTAGTTTCATGTGAGTTCTACCTATAAATGGGACTGTTCTGTATAATCAGAATAACTGCAGTTGGGTCTGGATGCCTGTGAATAATGCATTACACTTGTTGGGTTTCCTCTGAAGTCGGAAGGCTGCTCTTGAAAGCTGTTAAATGAATTCTAGAGGGTGAAGGGAGAAAGCAGTGGCAGTACAATTTTTTTCTGTTCTCTGCTGGATATTTTGGAACTCTTGTTTTCAGTTTTACCATGATGAAAGATTATGTTTGGGAGCGGGGAGAAAAAAAAGAAAAAACTACACTGACATTTTTTAAATTCAGAGGCAAGTCAGTTGTTAAAAGCCTGCATGTCTGGATATTTCTGAGGTTGAAGCTACAGTGGCAAATACAGTCCAAAGAAATGGGGTGGGAGGTGTAAGGGAGAGAGAGTGTTGACCTTAGGGATTTAAATCTCCTAATTCCTGGTGCACAGTAACTGTAAAGACAAACTGAGATCGGTAGCTCTTTTTCCACACTCCATCCAAAATCAGAGTTTGAGTTGCCAGTAGAACTTTATACAAGAATGTTGTAGTTAAAAGCTGTTCATGAAATCACTTAAAAACCCACGGACTTTTGCACGTGCAGGTTTTCCTCCATCTGAAACATTCATCTGCCTTAACACTTCCCCAGCAACTAACTAATGTTGCAAACCAAAAATTGCAGTGGGTGGAGCTTTTGAGAACAGGCCTTCAACTCAGGTCACTGGTTGAAATCCAAGCAGAGATAATGTCAAAAGTTTGACAGAATGTGGAAACTATTGAATTTATGCAGTACTTGGTAATGAGTGTGCCTAATTGGTATTTACTGCTTTAAGGGCAGTTAGAGATTGCAAAGGGAGTTGGTTGTAAGAGTCCCTCTCTCAGGAGGGACTCTTTACAAACAGAAGGTAGATGAATTTGCCTTTAACATATACCTTTTTCTTTCAGAGAATAGTCTGGAAAAAATTGATATAATTGACACACATTTTCAGAGTTAATGCAAGAAAATTACTTTGCCCTTTGAATAGGAAGAACCGTTAGTCTTCCCTATAAGCTGTCCTCCTATGACCTTTGAGTTGCCCTCTTGAGCAAACAGAACTACTTCTGTCTCAAACTTGGTCAGGCAGTGGCCAAGTACAGGTTTGGCTTTTAAAGAACAGATCTAAGGGCTTTGGAATGTGACATAGTAGTGGTGCATCTCTTTCTGCTTAATTTCTGTTTTGTTAACATTTATCCACATGTGTATTTATTGCTAAATTATCTTGGTGAGATGCCAGATTTCTCATTGTGCTCCAGTATTGCAGAAATCATTAGGATTTTAAAAAACAAAACATTCCCACCCCTTAAAAAAAGTCACGTAATGGACTTGATAATTTAGTTTATATGAGAAATTTCTGCATAGATGCCTGTGGTGACTATAAATATTAAATATTCTTGGTTGTAGGTGTCATAAAATGTTGAAGCAGTTTTTTGTTTCAGTGGCAAGTCTGATAAATGCAATGTGACAATTTTTTATGCGAAGGGAAAGATCTAATTGCTGTGTCTAATACATTTTGCATTGCTTGATTTATTTTTCATTCCTCAACCCCTTGATCAGGAGAACTGGGATTTCCTGAAATAACACATTTGCAGAATGAGCTAATGCATATGTGAGCATCCAGCTTGTTGTGGGAGAACCA